GGCTGACATGTATAGCAATGTATCTTACATCTTAATATTAATCATATAACAATTCATTTTACTATATTAATAAAGATTGTGAGAAATGCCTTACTTAACATTAAAAAAAAAAATAAAAAGTAAAGATAAAATAAAATAAAAATGTTCTAGAAATAGTAAAGGTGCAATAGATACAATAGATGCCGAAGTTGCAGTAACAAATCTGTAATACAAGACTATTCTAGAATAACTAACATTTCAAGGATCAATGCTAGTAAAAATTGATCAAGGGATAAGGAAGATCTTGGGTGAAAATCAAGTGTAACAACGTTCATCTCAATCAGATAACTTTTGTGGACAGCCTGAACCTTTTTTTCTTTGAATGTTAATTTATTTTTTCAACCATTTTTTTTAGTCTAAGTATAGTTGTATGATGTACACCACCTAGATGCTTTCCAATATTTTGTAATGAATATTCTTCCTCTAATAATACAATTACTTTTGCTTTTTGCTCAATAGATAATTGTGGCATATCAGATCAAAAGAATTTTTTGTAGATTGTATGCTTGGTAAATGTTTTTTATTAGAGGTTAATACAATACTTTGACAAAAATAAAGTCAAAAAATCAAATACGAGAATTTATATGAAAGATTGTCAAAAAAATGCACCATTGTTTTTCAAATAAATAATAAATATTGATTGATTCTTCAAGGAATCAATAGTAAAAAGTTTGTATCGTTTATTAGATTTATATGATTAATAATACAAATAAAATTTTAAAGTTATTCAATTTTTGCTTGCAACGATATATGCTATTTAGGTTGAATCATATCAGTGGTGCGTTTTTTTTGACGCCTACTGTTACCGGAGGTATCTTTTCCAAAGATATTCCATAATCTATAATCTCTTGAATTTTCTCATTAGTAAGCTCTGAAATAGAAGTTGCACTATAGGATTTAATATATCTGATTTTATCTATGTCCACTTGTTCGAAAAATTTATATACTTTCTCGGCTCTGAGTTTTTTTGCGTAAACTACCTCGTGATATATCTCGAAGTTGTAACCCTAATTCTTGGGATCTTTGTTTGCGAATTAAATTAAGTTGTTTTGTAGTTGAATCATACAACAAACTTCTTGCCTTCTTTTCACCGAATTTACCTTCGCTATTTTCTATAATTCCATTGAGCTGGATTCTGAAATCCTTCGCATAGAGATACCAACATAAAATTTCTTCCTGATTAGCTCGATTTGCTTTATCTACAGCATCAAAAGCTTTATTACATAACTGAGCTAAATGTTTTGATGCCTCATCAATGCTAGATATGTTGCTAGAGATAATTTTTCCGGGACATAATGTCTCAGAAATTGCTCACAAGATTTTGTTTTATTGATGGTTCTTGTGATGTTTCGGGGTAAACAATTCATGTTTAAGCTTGTTCAATTCCTTACCCTTTCTATAATCTACTTCCGTTTTTTTACGTATCTTACCAGTTTTGTCTTGGGAAATAATTTCGTTATTATCTGAATTAGAAGATTCCGGAATGATTATAGCAGTTTCTTCGGATGTTGCGCTATTGCATGGTTGAGTAACCAAGTTGAGATCTTGATCTTGAAGTTTCTTTTCCCGATTTCTCTGCTTAATTGTGTTGCTAACCTTTTTCTTATACACCTCATTCAAGAAAGCATCCATTTCCTTATCTCCTGATGTCTTGTTGTTGGTAGTATCACTAGGTGTGTTATCACAGGTAACTACTCGTCCAACTTTATTATTGAGATTCTCTACTACGGAATCGGATATATAACATTATTTCTGGAATATCAATATTCTGTGGTTGTTCAGTTACCGAGGTAATACCCTGTTTTAATATTGCGAGTCTAGCTTCAAGCTCTGTATTCTTTTGCTCTAGCTCCTTAACTCTAACATCGCGCTTTGTATTCTCCTCAATAATCTGCTTCAACCTTGCATTCTCCTTTCCAAGTTCGGCAATCTCGGCTACAAGCTTGGAATTCAATTCCTTCAATGAATCAATTTTGGATTGAGGGTTTGACATTGCTTTGTATAAAAAGCGCATTCATTCAAATCGTGTAAGGTACAAAGTTCAATTCACGTGATTAAATTTTGCGCGACATAATGTCTCGGAAAAATGCCGAGAAAAAAAAAATAATCACGATTGATATATAAACGATTGAGTAGATCTCGTTTAAAGGGAAGAATAGAGCATGAAAGATCACGCCCACCGGCCTTTTGAAATTTAGTGTAAAATATTAATGGCAAAATTAACTTTGGATGTTGCTAAAGAGATTGCACGTAGCAGAGAAAGTGAATGCACACCTGAAAGATGTATCAATTGTATGCTAAATAAACTATAAAGAGCCCAAATCTAAGCTATACTAATAATAATATAATATAGTATACAATTTCATCTATTGCAAAAGAAATTGGCGAATTATATCAAATGCTTCCAGTACTTCTCGTCTCCCATCTGGTTTTGCAAGGTTCAGACCAGTCTCAGGACGCTCATCTTCTGGCCATCTTTTAATAACAACAGACTCGTTCTGTGGTAAACTGAAATCAAGTTCATTCCAATATTTTGCAGGGATTACAGTTTTGTAAAATGTAAAGTACGAGGAGATGGTGCGAATACCAAATATAGTTTGATCCGAAATTACACCAGCTTGGCGTGCAATTTTGCGCATATTTTCACTCCCACATGCGAGCATCTCGGTCGCTAATTGTGCTTCCCCAAAATCTTTTGAAGGAATAAGGGCTGTGTTTTTCAGTTGTTTATCCTGTTAAAAGAAAAGTTGTTCGAGTAAACAAAATAAAATATTCAAATAATCAAAACATACAGACCTCTACAACGATCACGGTAACATTATTCCTATTAACCACGAATTCGGGTGTCGCTGAAACATAAGGCTCTCCTGTTATGTATAATTTGCATCGCGAGTGGGTTCTATAATGTAAATATTAGAGAAATCGATAGAATGCATATTACAAACACTCATAATTTCCATAATTTTTCACCTAACTCTCAAGGGATAGCGATGCATGCCAACAACCTGAACCGGTAGATTATTTATCAGTGTCAGTCACAGCTTCTTCCGTACCTTCATCATCACGTAAATTCTTAATAACTTCGTGTAGATCGGCTAAGAATGCTTTGATTTGATCATCAGAAATATCTTCAAGACTGTCAACATCAAACTCTTCATCTTTAAGTGTTTGGATATCGATTTGGGGAAGAGTATATTTCTCAAAAAAGCTAGTAACTAAATAACATCTAAATTATTAGCATTAGGTTCGCTAAAACAGCATAGTTCGCACCTTTTATATCGCAAGGGAGGACGTCGCACTTGGAACTTGGCTTAAAGCTCACTTTTAGCGCTTGCAAATCATTTTTATTGAAGGTAAAAGAAGTGGTGTTGAGAATTCCAGTAAAACCCTGTTCTTTAGGCGTGGTCTTGACTATTTCTCGTGACTGCTTAAGGGCATCGTCAAATAATATGGCAGTAGATGAGAAAAATACTGCTGGTCGAAGAGTGCGTGAGGTAAAGCGAGAAAACTTTGAAACGAGAAGACGTTTCTGACAAAAGATCACATGCTTGCATATCTTATTAGAAAGATTTTTATATCTGAGTAGTGATCCGTCCAATCAGTGAAGCTACAGGTGCCAAGATTAATCTCAACTGCCTATTAATGCATTCTATGGTTTACCTTATCGAATTCACATAATTCCTATTTATATTACATCAACGGAGAGAGCACTCAGAGAACTAACCTAGCAAGACACGTAAACCAGATTTTGCAAGTTTTCACATATAAAAGCAACATCATGTCTTCACCCAGCGTTTCTTCACCTTCCTCACCAATTTCCACATCATCTACTTTGACGGAAGAAAGGTCAACTCGACGATGGAAGACGTTATTAAGAAGTATAAAACGGAGGAACTTATCGACTATTTACAGAGGCAGGAAGATTTGGATCTTAATAATGACGATTTACCAATTCTACGCAAACAAAAAATTTCAGGTTTCTCTTTTCTGGAGTTAACAGAAGAAAAGTTTCGTAGTATTTGTTTGACTTTGGCTAGCAACGGCACTTGCAAAATTTATTGAGGATCTCAAAGAGCAGAAAATACGAAGCTTCTCGTCATACAAAACTCTGGAAGAATCGAAGGACGTTCTCCGTAAATACAAAGTCAATCGTGAGGATATAACGAACATCAAGCAATTCAATCCGGGTATGTGGTATATTTTCTTGGTATTTTTCCTCTGGGACCGCGCGGTCAAAATTCATGATCAAAATTCCAGATGCGTAATAATTTATTTTTTCCATTGTACAGTGTTCGAAGAAATCGATGATAATGACAAAGCCCTCGAACAATGCATGAACGAAATAATACTGAGACTTTCAAATCTAGAAACGATGCAGACTAACGCCAACGAAGCCACACGTTGTGTATTTATTACGTCGATATTAAACGTATCCCTGGCTATTGTTCGACGACTTACCAAAGAAGAAAAAAATCTACATATCATACTAAAAAGCAGTTTCCGGTGAGGAGGCATCTGGTCGTGTCGATTTTGCAATAAAAGGAAACGAGGATCTTATGTGCATAGCTGAGGGAAAGCCTCGTAACGTAGAAATGGTTACCCTCAGAATATCATGCAACTAGAGAGTGCATACAGTACCAATAAAAAGAAGCGTACAGCAGATGAAGCTTTCCGGGATGATGATTACGACTATCTCTACGGAATAGTTTCTACAGGTGTATACATGAATTTTTGTAATATTTTGGCAGGGGTGAAACTTCGGATTTTTTTACTGATAATAGCTTTATATTTTTAGCTACGGAATGGCATTTCATTGTTTTTGCTACCGATGGTCTTTATTGTACAAGTAAAAGCGAATATCAGATAAATCTCTCTAAAACAGCTCTTACAGAGGATGTTGACTCTATTCGAAAAGGGGTTAGACGGGTACTAGGCGTTATTGTTGGCTTATTGAAGGATAGAATTAGTGTTAATAATTCCCCAGCCAGTAAGAAGGCTATGATCAAAAATTTTACCAATAAAGGTTTTTTGTCAACGTCGCAGAATTAACTACGTCAGTTTTACTAATACATTTTTTAATTTGAGGGTTTATATCGGAGTAGAGCTTTTTTTGCGAAATAAGTACACTTTCCCTAAAAGATAAGATGTCTATATTAAATTTAATAAACAGTAATTTTATTCGCAGTCACCAAGTGATTAATTCATATGCTTTGGAATATAAGAATGAGGAGGCTATTGCAAAAAGAAATTAATCGAGTTAGAAGATCGATTTATTATTTGAATTTGAAGTTGGTGGTACGAAACAATAAATGTTCGATTGCTGATGTCAACATTACAAGAGCAAAGAATTATTGATCCAATTAATACATTTCACCTACGTAAAGTGTAGGGCGTTGCCCATTGCGTTGTAATAGTGGAGCTAGTGTCTCTGACACATAAAAAGTTCTGGTAATTTCCGGCACTTTACCATCCAAGTCTATAAATAAATTCTGATCTTTGATTTTTTTTATATAAAAAGGTGGAGAAAAAGCTAATAAATTTTATCCACGATAAATAAAAAGATTAATACACTACAAAATAATATCTAATTTCTAACGATTAAGGTTCATACACTCAAATAATATCTAATTTCAAACGATTAAGATTTGTTTATTCGTTTATATACTATGACAACTCCCCACATTTGTGTATATATGCTAATAGACTGATTTCCACTTATAGATGACATCGCTTGCTGTTTCCATTTTGGACTTCGCCAGCTTTTTGATATTCACCGAGAAAATCTCTATGTACTTACTTGTCGGTGCCACACGCGTCACCAAGCAAGGCATCGACATCAAACATAATTCCAATTCTTCTGCACGTGATACCATTAATGAAATTCTTGCAAACCGTGATGCCCGACTCACCACCGAGCTTGCCAATCGTGATGCCAGACTTGATGAAATTGAACGTATCATTCAAACCTATCATAATAGAGTTACAACAGAATTCGAATCAATTAATGGATTAATCTTAACGTTCCAAAACGAAATTAATCGACATTATGCCGTCGTTCAGGCACAAAGTGCCATTTCTCCCGAAATAAGAATCGAACCTATCGAAGACACATCCGACCAACAAAGTAATGAAAATAAATCCGAAGCTTCTAGTTTGAGCCAACGATCATTTTCAGATATACTGTAACTTCAGAAATCTGGAACCAATTTAAAATTATTTTTTGATAGAATTACGACAGAAAGATGTTCTTTAGATGAAATTTGTACTATCGTGGCGGTTGATATTCTTAATCTTGGAGTGGAAAACTTAGTAAAGATATAATAAAAAAATATTATCGTAGAATTAATGATTTAAAAGGCAGTAACTTAGATGAAATAGGTGCTTGGATCGATAGCAAACAAAATAATAATGAGTAGCGGGAAAGGAACTGCCATCATACGGGTTAGGGTTCGGCAGGAATTTATGCTTTATTCCTCCCTTTAGATTCCGCTTCTATAATTTTTAATTAGCCGGTTCCTTATTCTTGTAATATTTTACAAAAAAAATTTATTTGTAAAAAGTTTTTCGATATGCATATGCTCGCTTTTCCTGATCTACTGTTTTGACATACCAATGGACTTGCCCCAAATCCCCAATTTTTAAACTAACGAGTCTAGATACACAAAAAATGTTTAAAGAGGTAATATAGCGAACTTTTTCGTTATTTTTCATTCAGTGTATTTCACAGTAACATTTAAACTTTTATATATATCGAAAAATGGAAGAATTTCTTTAAAAAGAGAGCCTCTTGATATCATCAGGGTCCCCACAGCGTTATTTGTACGAGTAGAGTATGGTGAATGGACAGGAGTTCTTGAAAAAGATGTGGAGAATTTTGAAATTGTTTTGGTACGAGTTTTAGAACAAGTCCCCTTAGAGGATATTGAACGGTAAAGAAGCTTCAAAGTTTTGGTACTGGAAAAAAAATTGGCAAAACGGGTAAGGCAATGAATTATTTTTATGATAAATATATGAATATGATGACTTGTATTTTTATGTTTTCTAAAAGGCATATATACACTGATTCAAAAAATTGTATGAATGTATTGATTTTTTTCCGTTTGTTGTTTATAATTTTATAATTTTTTATCTAATCAGTATTAAATAAAAATAAGTATTAATATAAATAGTTTATTGTTTAATTAATTAATTAATATAAATGTTATGTATATACAGTATGTCATGAGTTAAATGAATACTATATAATCAAACTGAACAAATATATTGATACAATTTTTTTGCTTTTTATAATATGTCAACAATTTTAATTAATTAATGCTAATAATACAAATTTACAAAAACTATATAAATAATATTAATTCACAATCATTTATACTATTTATGCCATTTTTTTTCTAATCAAATCTTTATCAAAACAAAAATATACAGATGTTATTTCTCTAATTTATAATGGTTTATTTACAAGGAAATTGCTATTAGGCTTAAAATTAGCCATAGTACTGTATCAAGAATTTATAAGAACATTTGTTCTGATATTCAAAAACCAAAAGCCAGGCATCCTCATTCTTTAAATCAATATCAGGAATGTGCTATTATATGATCTATTACTTCTGGATATGTTGATACAACTGTAAAAGTTGAAAGAGATCTAAAAAATTATCAAGGTATTAATGTATCAGCTCAAACAGTTTGAAATATGTTAAAAAGAAATGGCTTAAAATCTGCTGTCAAAAAAAAAGTTGATTCTTAGTACAAAGTATAAGAATCAGCAATGAAAGTTTGCAAAACAATATGTAGATTAGACTATTAATGACTGAAGACATGTTATTTTCTCAAATGAGACTAAAGTTAATTGATTTGGATCTGATGGACATAAATGGTGCTGAAAAAAGTCAAAATCTTTACTTTAATCTAATCATATTGTTCCAACTATAAAGTATAGTAGAGGATCTATAATGATTTGGGGTTTGTTTTGACACAAGAAATTGGTTACACGTGTTCTATTAAAGCTAAAATGAATGTTGAAATAAATGTTGAAATTCTTAAGAAATGTTTTTTGAAAACTATAGAATGGTATCATTTAGATAAAAAAAAATCATCTTTCAACATGATACTGATTTAAAGCATACAGCAAAATATACTATCAAATGGCTTGAATATGAAAAAACCTAAGTTTTAAATTGGCCTCCATACTATCCAGACCTTAATTCCATTAAACATCTATGGGATTATTTAAAAAGAAAACTTTCAGATTATAAAGATGTACCTGATGGTATAAATAAACTCTGGGAAAGAATAGAAGATGAATGAAATAAAATACCTTTAGAAAAGTATAGAGAATTAATTGATAGTATGCCACAAAGAATAGTGGCTGTGATTAAAGCAAAAGGTGGATACACAAATTACTAAATTTTAAAAAATAATTTCAGCAAAAATATTGTACCAATGTATTTGCTTACTTTGAATATACTGTATATTGCATAATGCTAATTATAATAAATATATTTGCAAATAATTCTGTTTGAATAGCTAAATTGCATGTTAATAAATAGTAATGTTTGTTTTTATTTAAAATCAATAATTTTAAAACTGTAAGCAAAACAACAAAAAAATTCAATATATTGATACAATTTTTTGAATCAGTGTACTAGTGAATGGGTTATGTCCGTTGTGATAATATTACTTCTCACATAGCAGTAGCTAGTTATCTATGCCCAAATATTGATTATTGAGCTCATTGCCAGCATTTTTTGATAGTTTATGAAAACGAAAACCTAATTTGATTCCACGAATTATTATTCACTTTAATTGACAAAATATGAGAAATTTAAGCTAAGTTAATTATATTTGGGTCGCAAGTGCCTTTGAAGATTTATGTTCTCTTACAGAAATGAATGCTCTGGTGATTGATGTAAAGACTTGGCCTGACAATGCAAATGCAAATTTGCGTTTTTTAAAATGTGATGTTGGTCAGCTTATAAATGGGTGCACTAATTATGAGAAAACTATGTGGGAAAGAATTGAAATGGAATTAGAACAAGTAAATGTTAAAAGCCTTGGATTCGACCATCCAATATGCTCCGGAGTTCTTGATATCAAATCCGAACCTTTTACAAAGATGCCTGAATCATTTTGTGATGTTTTTAAGAAACCTTTCCAAAAGTATAGATTAGATCAAAATGATATAATGACAAATATTTGTAAAGAGTTCATTCGTATTGAAAAATTGAAGATTAATGCGGACGATGATTTAAGTAATGTTGAATATGGCAGATGGTTAGATAATTCTGAGAAGCTTCAAATAACGTCTAAACAGATACTAGAAGCATTGTAAGTTCTTTATTTTTCGCATAGAAAATGAACAAAAACCTAACAATTAATAATACTTTATAGGCTTAAAGTCCGGAAATCACCCAAGTACGACACCTATTCAAAGAAAGGGAAACCGGTTAATGAAGAGTCATATGTTTGCAAAGTACTTGTGCCTCTAATAAACATAGCGATGAATGATTTACCTGGGAACCCAGTTGTATGGGATATATAGTAAGTTAAAAATAGAGTTTTAATAACTTGTATATACAGTATAATGATTATAATTTTTCCAATAGGGGTAAGGAAGGAAGTTCAGCTAGCACTATATGAAAATATTCTCGTAAATTTGCACGAAGGCCAGATTCTATGACTATAGTATAACTAGGAAAGAGTGTAGAGCTTGAAATTGTATATCTAGAAATTGATAAACCGAATTCCACCCAGGAAAAACGACAACGAGATCATAAAAAGTTAATACAATTTTCTAAAGATTCCATTGAATGTATCGAAGCTTAAAAAAATATTCAATAAATCATTTAAGAGACAGAATTTGAGTGTATTTACCATTAACATTACGGGTATATATTATAATTTACTTCGTGTTTTGCCAATTAATGATATTCAATCATATTTACTTCATATACTGTAAATTGCAGGCAATGTTATATAACTTTATGCTATGCGGAAAGAATCGGGTATTTGTAAGTACTGTTTAATGGAGGAGGCAACAATTCCATTATATATGACTTTACTAGGTGCTATATACCCGCTTATTCATACTTTAATGATATTGGAAACAGTCGTTGCATGTATAATTTATAAAATATTACATAATTGGTAGTCATATAATACTACCAACCCGGTGTTATACAGTAATTTATGAAATTTTTGTTTGTGATACTGGTTTAGTTTTTCTTACTCGAAATTCTACGTGCATATAAGAGTTCTTTGTTTTTCCAAAAATACTATATTTATTAAATTCGCATGATTCAATAGGTATATATTCTGTTAAGATGTCATTTTGCTTTATTATTTGTGTTGCGTATTTTCCATCAACGTATGGAAAGCATTTTTTTTTAATCGAATTAATCGCTGAATAAAGACGAAAAGTATTTAAAATAAAATAGTTTTGAAGAAACAAATAAACTTAATTCTTCGGGTAAAAAGAAGAAAAATTAGTATCACAAGATTAAAGTCCACAATTTAATACCGTTGGATTGAACCAAAGTCGCAATTCTTGAATTAAGAATAAATATATAAAATTATTGTATTGTCATTTTATGGAAGTCTTTTGGTTTTTCATGGCATTTATCAAAAGCATTTTTAGTACATATGCTGAATTTTGACATTAAGTGAAAATGTGAATATATTTACGAAGAAAAATTGTGAAATTTTATAACAGCAGCCCAAGTAAATTGTAAAAGGATAGATCTTAGGAGAATACCTAGATTGCATATTGGATAATGTTTGAGATCAAGAGTTTTAAAAAAGAAGTTAAAATCATAGGCCTAGTGCGGATGCTACTATTTTAAGTTATCTTTGAGGTGCTTGATGAGTATAGTATTGGAGTTATCGGTACATACAGTACATAAGCTGCCAAAAAGTATCTATGTAGTGTTTATCTTACAAGCTCATCTCGTATATCCTAAACAATCTTCTTGATAAAAGAGTTAGTCAGCTTATAAATATTAATTCTAGAATTAATTGTAATGTATACATACAGTATATATCAAAGTCGGACATGTATCAATAAATTTTACTCAACTATATTTTACTTTGTAAATGCGACCTTGTAAGCACGATTAATGTTTATTTTAAATTGTATTATGGTATGTCTTACATTTATCACATCATATCTAACACATGCCTTTAGGATAAAAGCGATTCACCCTCACTATTCGTGTTCAAAATTTTCATCAAAGTATTGACTAGTGAAAATGACGCATAAAGAATCGCAATTTAAAACTTCTGAATTTGAAGACAGACTTGTAAAAAATAGATGCTTAGATGGAATACGAAAGGTTATATACCTCATGTTTACAGTACAGTACTTATATTCATTGCTATCAATTTATTTGTTGTTATTTACTTATTACTATCTTCATACGATATTTGATACAAGATATTATTATTAGTATCATTTAGTATGCCTACATTACAACACGGGTTGCCACAATAAACAATAGTAGTGTTCAAATTTAAGAAATTTTATGTTACCTTTTAACAATTTATATGTTTAATATTCTGAAAATTGCAATTTTTTATTAATTAATTATTTTTAAAAAATGTAAAAGTCGATTTTTTGAAACGATAATATTTATGTACAGCACTTATAATTGATTATTAATTTTTTTAAATTAATTTTTCAATTTTGCTTGAATATTCATTGTATAGAATTAACTGTGAATCAAATACATTTAATTTCTTAGAATTTAATATTAAGTTTGTTTAAAAATAAACACAATACTTATTGATAATTACTTTACGAAAATATTTAATTGAAATTATTATTTATAATTAATCAAAAATAAAGTACAATACATCTAACTTTTTCAAACTATTACTACATTATATTTAATTATTATATTAATAGCTAGTTCTCTATTAATATGGAGTTTAAAAATTTCTAGTAAAACTGTTTCTAGGTCACATTTAAAATGAATTTATTTTTGTTGATATGTGTAAATTTTTTGTATATGTTCGAAAAATCAAAACAAACTTACATATTTTTATTAATATATATTTATAAAAAATTAATGGCATAGTTAAAATATATGACAATTGTTATGTAAATGTTATTGTTAATTAGAAAACAAAAGCTTAATATCACAAAGAAATAACGATATTAAAAAAAGGAAAGAACTAAAGAGAATAATATATTGTTTTTTTAATTATAGAAATTATTTTTTGATGTGTTTATTTATAACAATTAATCAATTAGTTGATTTAAATCAATCAATCAACTAACAAATTATTCGATTAAAAACTAATATCCCTATGTTGGAATTCCAATGACCCGAAATTTTACTCGGAAACAAAGCAAATGCAACTGCACGTGCGCTGCACAGAGAACATCACCCATCCTTTTATTTCTGGTAAAGAATCTCTGCTGTTGAAACTGTAACACGTTCTACTGCACAAATAAGTTACGGTGCTACCAAACTTTAACTTTTTAAAAAAAAAACTTTATATATTGGACGTACATATACAGTACATACGATCACATATCATCGTTATTTGAAATCAAATATACAGATGGATGAAAATGAAAGATTATTTCAACATGCTATTAACGACTATGAATTAAACAATATTCCTATAGAAAAATTAAAAAACAAAGAAAAGATCGGAAAAGGTGCATTTGGTTACGTGTATAGATGCAATATTGACGGAGATTCTAGAATGGTGGCAGTAAAAGAAATATATGTTGGGGACGAGGATAGCGAAACATCCATTAAATCCTTCCTTAATGAGGTTTTTGACTTATAAATAAATCATTCGTTTTGACAAAGTTTATTATCAATGTTTTGATTTATTTTTAGTTAAAATTACATAGCAAGGCCAAAAGTCATCGTATTATTGAGTTATTTGGGATGGGCTATGGTCAGAAGTTTATATTGAGCATCAAATTAATTTTTTAAATGGTAGTTGTAAATTAACTTTTGTTTAATTACAAAAGATAAAAATGGAGATTTATGCTATCTTGTGATGGAACTTGCCGAGTGTCATTTAAGGAAATATTTAAATGACAAAAAGGACGAACTTCAATGGGATAAAAAAATAGAACTCGCAATCCAATTAACAGAAGGATTGTCTTACATCCATAATGTGATGAATGTGGCACACCGTGATTTGGTATCGGATTACTGTATATTTTGTAAAGTCGTTATTCATAAAATAATTTATTTATTTATTTATTTTATTTAGCACACAAAAAACGTTTTGATTCGTCAAGGAAACGTAAAAATTGCGGACTTCGGGCTATCAAAGAATCTTAACAGTGCCATGTCAAGCAAAGGCAATGTTTTAGGAGTTATTCCCTTCATTGATCCTCAAAAATTGGCGAATGATCATTATAAATTAGATACAAAATCCGACATTTACAGTCTTGGTGTGATATTCTGGGAAATTTCAAGTTGCTGCCCACCATTTTATCAACATAGCAATGTTTCCATTTTCAATAAAATTATCCAGAATGTACGCGAAGCTCCTACTATTGGAACACCATTATCCTTTATTCAACTTTATTCCAAATGTTGGGATTCATGGCCTTTGCTTCGCCCTATTGCAGATCAAATTCTTAATGAACTTAAATATTTATCTCTCGATCCAATGCATAACAATTATAACTCCGTTAATGGCATAATGTCAAATACAACTGGTGAATGATATTATTAGTTAAATATTAAGATGTTATTTTTGTACTAATATATATATATATTTAGATCAAAATGGCCTCATTATTGTTTTAGAAAACCCTTTAGTAAGCAAAAGTAAGGTTAAACAACTTTGAGAAAATTTTATTCATACATTTTAATCACTTAAACAGGACAGCATGAGCAGTGATTTAGTAAAGTTTGATAGAAAGTAAGTATACCATTTATAATAAAAAGGTATATGTGGGTTAATAATATTTATTAATTTGCAGAATAAATGTTAGTTTTAATTTAATGAGTTAATGAAAAGAAAATAATTTTTTAAACCTTATTTTTTATTGTCATTTATATAATACCTCTATGAACGACTGCTAAATTGATAGAACGTATGTATAAAGTTTTATGAGTTTATGCTTACTATATTTATTCCTAACTTACTCCACTAACTAATTTAAATACCACAATTATTGTAGCGAGTGAGCAAAGTTTTGTGTTTACTATTAGTAATATTAAATTGCCTAGTAATCAATAAATTATTAATTTAGCAACGATAGCAGGTAAGTCTAAATTCGATTAGTACGCTAATCCGAATAATTTTCCTAATTAATTATTGATTTAATGTAGTAGAATGTAAGTCTAAGGTTTATAAGTTCACGCTTATTGATATTTCATTCGTAAATAACTCCAATTGATGGCATAACAAGTAGACAGTAAGTTTAAATTTTATAAATTCAAGCTCATCAATCCTTCATCCCTAAACTAAATAATCGTGCTTATTAATATTCTGTTCCTAAATAACTAAATAACTAATAATTGTAATAACATATTAGCGCGTAAGTTTAAAGTTTGTGCTAATTAATATTTCGCTCCTAAATAACTAAATAAATCTATTTAATAATCCAATAGACAGTAAGTTCAATTTTTAAATTTTTTCCCATTAATATTCCATTCCTAAATAACTAAATAACTTTATTTAATGACATAATAGGATGTAAGTTCTAAATTTTAAGTTCGTGCTCATTAATATTTATTTATAAATAAATAAATAACTAATAGTTGTAATAACATATTAGCACGTAAGTTTAAAGTTTGTGCTCATTAATATTCCATTCCTAAATAACTAAATAACTCTATTTAATGACACGATAGGCTGTAAGTTCGATTTTTAAATTTGTGCTCATTAATATTCCATTCCTAAATAACTAAATAGCTTTATTTAATGACATAATAGGAGGTTCTAAATTTTAAGTTCGTGCTAATTAATATTCATTTATAAATAAATAACTAACTAGTGATTTTGATGATATATTAGAGAGTAAGTTTAAGTTTGTGCTCATTAATATTGCATTCCTAAAATAATTAAATAACTCAATTTAATGACACAATAGGATGTAAGTTCTAAATTTTAAGTTTGTGCTCATTATTACTCCATTCCTAAATAACTAAATAACTTTATTTAATGATATAATAGGAGGTAAGTTCTAAATTTTAAGTTCGTGCTCATTAATATTCTTTTATAAAATAAATAAATGAATAATAATTTTAATAATATATTAGAGAGTAAGTTTAAATTTGTGCTCATTAATATTCCATTCCTAAATAACTAAATAACTTTATTTAATGACATATAGGGGGTAAGTTCTAAATTTTAAGTTCGTGCTCATTAATATTAATGTATAAATAAATAACTAACTAGTGATTTTAATTATGTATTAGAGAGTAAGTTTAAGTTTGTTCTCATTAATATTCTATTCCTAAATAACTAAATAACTCAATTTAATGACACAATAGGATGTAAGTTCTAAATTTTAAGTTTGTGCTCATTATTACTCCATTCCTAAATAACTAAATAACTTTATTTAATGATATAATAGAAAGTAAGTTCTAAATTTCAAGTTCGTGCTCATTAATATTCATTTATAAATAAATAACTAACTAATAATAATTTTAATAATATATTAGCGAGTAAGTTTAAGTTCGTGCTCATTATTACTTCTTTAATAATCAAATAACTAATTATTTTAATAATATATTAGCGAGTAAGTTTAAGTTCGTGCTCATTATTACTTCCTTAATAATCAAATAACTAATTATTTTAATAATATATTAGCGAGTAAGTTTAAGTTCGTGCTCATTATTACTTCCTTAATAATCAAATAACTAATTATTTTAATAATATATTAGCGAGTAAGTTTAAGTTCGTGCTCATCGATATTCAATTCCTAAGTAACTTAATAACTAATAATTTTAATAATATAATAGCGAGTAAGTTTAAGATTGTGCTCATTATTATTATTCCATTCTTAAATAACTAAATAACACAATTTAATGACACAATAGGCGGTAAGCTCGAGTTTTAAGTTCGTGCTCATTAATACTCCATTCCTAAATAACTAATGTTTTTAATAATGTTCTAGCGAGTAAGTTTAAGTTCGTGCTCATTAATATTTTATTCCTAGAAAACTAAATAGTTCTATTTAATGACACAATAGGCGGTAAGTTCTAGTTTTACATTTGTGCAAATTGATATTTCATTCTTAAATAACTAAATAACTAATATTTTTAATAATATATTAGCGAGTAAGTTTAAGTTCGTGCTCATTACTATTCCATTCCAAGTAACTAAATAATTCTATTTAAGGACAAATTAGACGGTAGGTTTAGGATTTAAGTTCGTGCTCATTAATTCACTATTCACAAATAACTAAATGAATATTAATTTATTAACACAGCTTTCGTTAATCGGAAATTTACAGTTCGGGTCAAATAATATAATGCATAATAATTTTGAGTTTAGTCAAATTGGGTCATTAGGGAATAGTGTTAAGCGAAATTTTATTTTACTTAATAAACGAGCCTGAACGGGAGACGTATTATTTAATGAAAAATGTCTACAATGACTTTTGGAGATTCATAGTAAATTTGATATTCAAGAATATGGTGTTGAAAACTATTTTACCATCAGGCTACAAAGAAATTTATATTTGATAATGTGTTCCAGCTTCATGGCACATAAATACCTTCGTTTTTTTTTGAAAGTGTGAGATCTCTATTATTAAATTTTATCTGAAAAAATTTAAACTAAGGTAGGATCATGTATCACCGAAAGGACATTCTTTTATCTTGCTTAACGTTAAAAAGAGGAATTTTTGACTTCGTTATTAGATCCAAGGTACTGAATGAACGATCTATTTTTTATTTTCATTATTTATTTATTTATTGTTTGTTTACTTTCTTGTCTTACATATAATTATTCTTAAATTTAATAAATTTAATAAGATTTTTAAGGCCGATGACGTTTGTCATCTATAGTTATTGTAATGGTAACGGTTCTGTATAACTAGATCAAATACTGTAATGCAATGGAATATGTTCAATCACATCATGCTTTCTTGTGGAAAATTACTAATCTGCCAATATCAGCCATCAAGGATTCAAAAAATATGAAGTGTAACGGCTAGGGAACCTCATGGGATTGAACTATCATGAATATTAATAAATTAGTGACAGGATTAAAACTAGTGATTGGTTAATATTTGAAAGACCAAATTAAAGATTGGTATTTTTATTTTTTAAGACTCAGTCTGAACTAGTCTTAGTATGGATCTTTTTTATTATTATTAAATATTTAATTTTTATATAAAGCAACTTTAATAATTAAAAATTTACACCTAACATTCACTATAACTTCAATAAAGTCATTGAAAAAAACTGTGAAATAATAAATACTACAATTGACAATCTAGAATTGCTTCTGAAGAATAAAAATCCAATAAACCTAAACATTCTTCAATTCAAACATAATCAAAACCCTAAATAAACTAGTTTCAAAAACAAAAATTCACAAAAACATACCTCAAATATTCAGCAAAAAACATACAATCTTTCCAGAAAACCACAAACCATTAAATTCCACATTCATAATTTCATATTGCAATCTCCTCAACCACTTAATCAAACAATCTTAAAGATCTCAAGAATCTCAATCACCCTTGCATCAACAAAAATGATCAAATTAATTCTATCAAAAACTACTTAACATTATTTACAAAATTCTTAAAATAAAAACAATTAGCAAATAAAAGAAACAAATAACAAAATCATCAACCAACATATAATGAATCTTCTCAATCATAAAAATCCATAAATATTCTTTACAAAAATCATTGATTCCATCAATGATAAAGTAATAACTGATCCACTCCAAATCTACAAAATAATCACAAAACACTATATAAAATTATTTCATAAATAAAACATCCAAAAATAAACTTTTTCACAAATAAAAAAAAAATCTATAATATTGAATTTTCAATTTATAATACACTTATAAGTCCAATTATTAAATATAAAATCATAGAAACAATTTACTTCCTACCAAACTATAAAGCACCTGAACCCTCTAAAGTCACATGTGTCTTTATGAAACAAATTCAAAAAATATTTATTTTATACTTCTATACAATCTTGATCATATACTTGCTTCACAGAAAATTTTAACTGATGGAAAAACTATTATATCTTTTCAATTAACAAAAAATTACAATAGAAATACAATATATAGAAAACAAGACTCATAGCTTTTGTTACCGTATTTAAAAAAATATTAACTAAAATCTTTACAAAAAATTTAGTTACATACTAATAAAATATAATATTCTACAAAAAGCAAACTTTATAGGTCTTTTCAATCAAAATACCTTTAAACCAATTCAACTTTTCAATTCAACTTACAATACTTACAAAATTATACAAAAAAATTATGGATTCTTTTTTCCAACATTAGCACAACTTTTAATTCAAATAACTTAATATATCTAAATATTAATACAATGCTTCTTAATATTAAATATCTTTATCTCACTATTCAGTAATATTTTCACAAATCAAATATGCCAAATAATTACAGATTAAAACTTAACAAATTATTATTATTATTGATAAAATAGATTAAGAAAAAACACTTCTATTTCTCTAGTAAATAATCTTCTATAACTTTTTAATCACTACTTA